GGCAAGTATCTTCCTGGGGAGCCTGTAATAAGAAAGGAGGGCTCAAAAGGTCCCCTGGTCTACCAGGAGAAGAGACAGCGAGTCTATAGCAGACTTGTACAACAACCCCACATGGGCTCATTGCAAAACTCAAGCCATGAGGAATGATAGCTGATGCCTCCAGGGTACAGCTCCTGCACACCCAAGTTGAGGTACAATATGGGCTCTCAGCACAGCTTCTGTGTTACCAGCGCACAGCTGGAATCCTACAGGTCTTTGGTCCCCTTCGAAGAAACCGAGCAGCTGAAGAAATCCAGAAACGTGGATTTAAATTGCTTCACTCTTGATTTTTTGCCCTTCAAGGAGCACTAAATTCAATTGATCCACACCAAAAGAAATTCCAACTTTAACAGAGGTGACAGCTCTTTCAGCAGTCGCCAGCTGTGCCTGCGGACAGGCAGGCTGGAGAGCACCACGAGTATCCCCCTCCTCCCAAAATGCACAAAGCTAGATGTGGGACCTCATCAACAACCATTTTACTCCCCAGATCCACTCCTACTGTGCTGTACGACTCGCTGCTGAACATTTAGCCAGAGGGGACATGCCTGGGGGGAGCCAAGGCTTGCAGGGTGCCCACATGTGTGCCTGGTAAGTGTTGCTGCCCGTCTGGTTAGTGCTGCTGTTCTGTGAAAGCAAAATTCTTTTCTCGCAGCCATGCACAGCTCAGCATGATGCAGTTTCCTGGCTGCTACTGAGAGGAGCCACAGCGGCCGCCCAGCAGATGGCAACAGCCCTGCGCAAGGTGCACAGCACCGCCTGCCCCCGCGCCTCTCACCTCCAGCAGTTTCGGCTGCCCTGCTTTGCAGATCTCCAACAGGGCCCTTCTACCCAGGTTCCCACGGCTAAAATAGGAATTTGTGCTATTTATCATGCTCTCAGCCAGCCTGTAAGGAGCACAGCCTTGCACTGGCTCTGCCTCTCCTCCAGCCCACCTAAGGTTACACATCTCCATGCCCCATCCCAATGTAAAACTCCAGCAGCACACGGAATTTTTGTGCCTTGCTTTCATTTGGAAGCATCAGCCTTCCCGCTCTGCATTGCTCAAGGGAGCTCACCCACCCCCAGGAGTCAGGGCAGAGAGCCCTGGTCCTAGGGCAAGGCACAGCAGGTATCAAGAAAGCCAAGTCCAAATTCACCTTTCCCCCTGCCACAGAGCATGGCAAACAAGTCTGTGTACCTCAGAACTGAGTCATGAGCTTCACCGGAGCTTGCAAGGGAGGCGAGGATACCTCCTACCCTCCAGTTAGTCAGCAGCAAAGCTGCACTAGCCCAGCCTGGGGGAAAACAGACAAGGACTCAGGTGTCTGGACAGACAGACTCCAAGCTCCCTTTACATAGATTTTACAAAGCAGAGCAGTGAAAAACACTGTCATTATTTTTTGTGATGTTTCCCTGCAGAAGTAGCGAGCAGTAACCTTGTCATCCAGCTGCCTGGCAACCACCACACATCCACCTCAGTTAGGGAGAAACTACCTGTGGCTGCAGGCAGGTAACCCCGGCGAGATGATGCTCTCCCTGCACCAGAGCAGGTGGACAAGGGATGAGATTCCTCTTGCTTGCGTGACAGCGGAGCGCTGGGGATTGCCATGAGCCCCCTGCAAGCACAGCTGGACACACAAGCCGCCACATGGCTGCAGGAACCCGGGCTCCTGCGTCTCCTGTCCTCTGCAAGCCACTGTCTCAACAGAGCTATGCAACCAGAAATCCTCTTTGGAAACGGTCTAACAGACAGAGCTGTCTGCCGAGCAGACCTGGCAAGGTGCAAGAAGAGCCAGAAGCTCTGCACCACACCAGGAGCCACACCAGCGGTTGGCTTGTGGAAGTATCTGACATTGCAAAAAAAGGGCCTTCCGTGAAGCGTCAAAGTTCAGACCTGGCCCCCTTCGAGACGCTTTTACTGCAAGATGCAAGTGCTGGTGGTTCTCTCTGTAGAGCGAACGCTTGCTGAAAGACACCGATACTGGGTACTCAGGGTGTTCCACAGATGTTGAGCTCGCTCTGATGACAGCCACCAGAAGAGGGGATGAGTCACCGAGAAGAGCAACCTTATTAACAAAGAGAAGACATTTTCATTTAGACTGCTTGAAGCACTTGTTTATACTTGTTTGAACAAACACTTAGGAGAAAAGCTCTCTGTCAAGACCCCAACACTTGTAAGAGACAAGCACTCAGCCACTGCAATTTCGTGCTGTTTAAGGGGGACCACAGCCAGTACTCCAAAGCCAGTAGCCACAACTACTCTCAGTACCATGGCACAGCAAATGCAGCACTTCTTCAGCTCACCTTGCAAACACCCTCTCATGTGGCACGAGAGGAGCTGTGCTCCTTCACCCCATGGCCCTGACAAAGCCAGAGGGGCTCACCCGATCTCCGAAGCCCACCAGCTGCGTTTTGGGGGCTGACAAAGAAGCTGTCGCGTTAAAAAGGCTTTTTAGCGGCCAGTTTGAGAGCTGCGTGCTCGCTGCGCACCATCTTCCCAGGTCTGAAACGGGGCCATTGGAGAACACAGAGTGCTTTTTGGGGGGTCTACTTGAAGGAAAGGCAACACCTTCACTTTTGGAAGGGTGCTTCTTTCCCCCTCCTCTCTTCCAGGTGAATCCAAGCAAGGTGGAATATACATTAGGAAAGGTCTCTTGTTCTGTTCTCTGTCTCACAATTTCCAGAGCAGCTGCCTGCTGCACCGAAGGAAGAAGGACCGGCCGGAGATCCCCCACCAGCAGACAGCTCTGCCGGGCAGCACAGCACGGTGCTCTGGTGAAAAACACTCATCCGCTGCTCCCAGCAGGTTGCTTTGTACAATGGCTTCTCTCATCCCCCCTCCCTGAAACAGCTCAGGCTTTCCAAGGTGCAGCACTACAGGACATGTGGAACAAAACGCATGTTGGGAGCTCGCTGCTCAGCTGAACGAGAACAAAACACCACGCGCCCCAAGACACCAATTTATTTTTACACTCGCAACACTGAGCGGTATTTCTCGATCATGTTCTCATTTGCTGAACCTCTATGAAACACTTGCAGGCTGGAAATTATTTCGAATCATGTATCCAAGACAACAAAGGTAATTCTTCCCCAGCATATTAAACGTAGACACTGACAGAGCTCTGATCTTTAGATGATTACCCTGAATTCAGTATGAGAATCCATTTACATCTTTCTGAAAAGGAGATTTCAGGATTCATCACCTTTTTCCTTTGGGTCACCTTGTCGTTTCAAGGAAACGATGGCCCAGCAGCAGCAGTATTTCATCCCAGCGGGGCACACACCCGGCTTGTTGGTATTCCTGCCCAGAATAGCTTGCAGCACTGACAGAGCTCATCTGTGTTAAATTAGCCCTTAGAAAACATCCCTGCTCTGAATCTCAGAAGATTGTCCCTTGACGCAGGTCTGAGGAGCAGAAAGCGAAAGCCTTTGCCTGCACGAGCACTGCGACACAGACCGTCACAGCCTCTAAATCGCTCAGTCCAGTGGTTAAAAAGCACATTTGTGACCTTGTACCAGATAGAGAAAAAATATGGAGACCTATCTGCCTTTCTGCCTGCTTCTACCCAGCTATCACTGGCTTTTGTGACTATCTTTCAAAAAGGAAAAGTAATCTAATATTCAACATGTCCTTGAAAGCCTTCTGGGGGAGGAACCCAGCCTCACGCACTCTTAAGGCCGTGTTCATCCGAGCAGTGCTAAGGGAAGAAGTGACTTGCACTGTCACTCTGAGCAAGTCCATTGGCTTGATCGAGAACGGGAGCCAGCAAACCAGCTCAAGAGAGAACCCCAGCTTGGCTGGGAAACGGGATGATGACCTGGTTGACTGTCAAGCATAAGTTGTCAGTGAGAGCTTCAAGCCATCTTAAGTGATGGACCTGTGCTCACTAACGTGAGGAAGTGCAGCTGCCCAACATCCAGTTTATCATTAGGAAACTCAAAAGAATAGCTCGAGCCTTTTATCAGGAAGTCACAAGGCCAAAATAACATATTACAGACTATGCAAAGCAGAGACCTGTCTATTTCCATGCAAATATAAAGGAGACTGGGAGCCCTTTTGCAAGTAACAATTTGTGTGATAAATACATCCAGGGCACCAAGACACAAGAGTCAAAAACCTGAAGAGGAAAGTTTGGAAAAGAAAGAGCAGGAGAACACTATTCAATCCCCATGTGGGATGAGGGAGCCAGCTGGCCCTTTGCTCTGAAGGTACCTGCTGCTCCAGGCTGGAAGGCAGGGAGCAGGGATGGAGGAAACCTACTGAGCAAAGCTCAAAAGCCCAGAAACACAGACAACAGGTCACTGTAGCAGCAGCCTCCCTTCTAGCTGGGGTGAGCAGATAACAGGACGTCACTGCAACATGCTCCTGTGTTAAGGAATGCAGAAGGGAATTGAGGGATGGAGGCTACAACTTTAACAAAAGGAAAAGCCCCACGTCAGGTAAGCATCTTCATCAAGCCCAAGAATAGAGAGAAAAAAAAAAAAAAAAAATCTACATTTTTGTCTTCTGCTCCACTGTTTACTGGCCAAACAGCACCAAGTGCCAATGTCCGACTGCTCTGCTGTGCCTCTCAGGTGGGCTCCCAGCTAGTACATCTCAAAAATCAGGTTCTCCAACCTGAGAAACTGCAGCAATAAGACAGACACAACAGCAGCAGGCACCCTTCCCATATCGCTAGTGTTTCGCTCCAAAAAGGGTCTCTCTCTCTTTCACCCAGGGCACCAGGCTGTGGCAATTTTGCAGGCTAAGACAGCACTAGCTATGGACTTTTGCTCAAACACCAATTTTAACTTGAAGAGCACCAAATGCTTGGTGCAAATTCTCCGGGCCAGTCAGATTAAAGGAGTCGTCTGCACTACATGTGAAGCACCCCTGAGCCCTGTCACAGTAAATGCTCTTCCCCTCCACCCAAACCCTCCATGCTCGAGTCTCACGCTGTATACAGCTGACATCCACCGGAGTTAACAGTGCTCATACTTGCCTCAAACGTGACAAAGTCATCAAACTCATCAGGACAGGCCGGGGCTTCCTCCTCAGGGGTATATCCCATATCATACAACTGGCTGTCAGGATCTGCAGAAGAAAATAAAAAAGAAAGAGAATCATCAAAAGGAAAGGTTCACCCTCAAACCAAGGACAGCTTTGGGAAACACGACAGCAGAAGGACAAGAACTTCCTCCTGCACGCACCGGTGCCTTCAGCTTTCAGAAAGGACCTCTGCTTCCAGGCATCCCACCACCACCTCAGGTGGAAGGCAACTGGGACAGCTGCTCACGTCCTACAAGGCCCCTTGCTGTTCCGATGGGGCTAGCACCTAGATTCATCCCTACCCCGCCATGGTCTCCATTCCTTTTCCTGGTTTCTTCCCTATCTCCGTTTCCTGCATCCTCTTATTCTTCTCCCAGAAGGCTTTAATCCTGCTGTGGGCAGGGAATACATTAGATCTACGTGTGACAGCCAACTACCATGGGAACGGCAGAGAAAGCAGGCTGCACCATAGCTTTTATCATCTACTGCTCCTCCCGCGGCCAGCCACATCAGGAGCCATCCTTACAGGGGGACAGGAAAATAGGGGGTTTTCAAGGAGCTTTCTTAAAATAAATAAATAAATAAAAATTACTCCTCCCACCCCCAAACACCCATCTGCAGCGGAGCGGAGCGGCATTTCTCCGAGCCCTTTGACCGAGGAAGGAAGCGTAAATTCCCCGTGCTCCCTCAAGCAACAGCTAATGCCTGATCCAGCACACGACCTAGATCACAGGCTGGAAACACTAAATCAAGATCAGATGCTGCAGTCCCAAAATAAATAGCAGGCTCCAAACCACATGCCTTGGAGCTGCAAATGTTGCGGCACTAGGTTTGTCTGATGTTGATAAACTTGGCTGGGCAGGAGGAGTCATCATGTCAGTGCTCCCAGGAAAGCTCCGCAATCGCCCGGATTTGGGGAGGGACAGGCTTTCCTTTTACGGCTGCTCGAGGCAGATGATGAGAGCAGAACTACAAAGCAGGGTCTGCTTTCTGCGTCCTTCAGGCTGGTGGCTTCCCAGCAGGCTGGCAGTGCAGCCAATTCAAGCAGCTCCCAGGCTCGAGTCCAAACCAAAGGGGCACACAAGTCGCATGATGTTTCGCTGCAGCCGAGAGGCGCAGCCACAGCACCGTACGCAGCCTCCCTCAGAGGGTATATTCCCTGTACAGTCACAGCCAGGGCTCCCGCTTCGGGTCCATCTCCAGATATCAAGAAAGGCCATTTTTCGTTAAGGGATCTGTACGTATAGCACGAAGTCAAGTGGTTAGGGCAGAGGACAGAGTAAGGAGTCAGGCTTGCAGCAACACCCCTCCCACCCAAACACCCTCCCCAGTGCCTCTTTCAGCTGACCACTAAATGCAAACACAGACAGGGCGCCAGGAGATACTGGAGCCACCAACCCGATGGGTACCGGCAGGGTAGGAGAAGCTGAGCACGTGGCACCAAGAAATGAGCCCTCCCCTAACCTTAGTCTGGGGCTCCCAGGGGTTTAGACTGTAAATCAAAACCAAGAATAAGCCAAATTGCTTTTCCAGAAACCAGCATACAATGCTGGGCTCTACAGCAAGCACACGGCAGGGTCATGGCTCCAGCAGATGAAAGGTGCTCTTGTTCACAATTTATGACTTCTATAGCCCTGCTGCTCTCCTCGGTCGTGGCACTGGGGCTGCTACGAGCTGTACTTCTGGCTGCTGGGACTCCTGCATGGAACCCTGAGCAGGGCAGCAAGATGCATGTGAAAACACTGCTGCCTAAGCACCCTGCTCAAGGCAAGGGAGCCTCAGGCCACCTTCTACTCTAATGGGTTTAGCACTGAAGTATCTGAAGATGGCATTCTTCTCCTCAAATGTCACCCTATCCCCACCTGCACAGCTCCTCCCAAGAGTCTGAGCCTACAATGGGAAGGAGTTTTCCCATTAGTTATCCCTATCGCTGTTCTGGGATTTGAGAACCTCCTTGACCAAGGGGACGGGGACAGCTTGTTGCAAAGCCATGGGAGCACCTCAGAGTGGGTCTCCCCAAGAGGAGCCTCTGCCCACTTCTGGGAAAACCAAGGAGTGCTCCTGAAAGGCAACCCATGTCACATCACGGAAACAGAGGGGACAGCCAGCCACATCTCTTGCCGACTACAGACGGCAGCACACAGGCAACGGCCACCTCCGGAGAGGTGGCTGTAATGTGCATGGCAGCATCCAAAGTGCCAGATCAGCTCATCAGGACATAAGCTGCAGGCAGTGCCCTGGTCCTGTGCCCAGCCAGGGCTCTGCCCTGTGCCCTGTCCCACCCAGCACGAGCCCCAGCGAGAGCTCTGCTCTGCGCAACCTCTGAGCAGCCCCGGCTGCACAAATGCTTCATCTGCAGCACATCTGAATCCCCAAGCTGACAGCGACAAGACTCCAGCCAAGCAGCTGGGTGCTGGGCAGCTGCCAGTGCTTCCAGCTGCCTGTTCTTGCACCTCTGCCGGGCACGGGCAGACAACCCAGTCAGTCTTACCAGTGCCCACCCTGCCAAGCCATCTCCAGGGCTGCTGGTGGCACCCCGCGGCAGCCCTGGGAACCGCAGAGCACCCCGAAGGCAGGGGAGCCAGGCACATTCTGCTTATTCCCGTGGTATTTCTTTTCCTCCCCCTCCAAGCAGATGCACAAAATCTTCCTGCTTTTTTAGACACAGATAAAGATATTTATTCTGCTCATTCCTTCCAAAGGGACTTGAAAAGTGAGGATTTAGTGTCAAGTGAAGGCTTCCAGTTCCCTTTGGAAGCAGGGGTATAAAGCGTGGGCAGACAAGGCACAAACAGCTCCCTGACATCAGCTGCCTCCTGTACAGCTCTTGCCCAAACTGAGTGCTCCTGGAGCCTTCCCAGCCCTTCGGGTGTTTCTTGGTGTAGGGGTGAACATGAGACTGGTTGCACCATCTGTCTGCAGAGCGCTCAGCCCAAAGAGGAGGTTCTCTGCGCAGGCAGGGTTTATTTTTACAAAAAGCTCCACTGTAGAAAGCAAGGAAAGACCATTTGAGAGGTCACCTGCACCCTTGCTAGTGGTGTGTCCAGCAGAAGCCATGCCCAGGAGACAGCACTCGGCGCTTCCACATCCCCATGCTCCACTTTAGAGAGCAAAGGCAACCACCACCACAAACAAAGGTTGACTTTTCTGCTCAATTCATTCCCTCCCTCTCTGAAAAAGCCATATGGTGCTTTGTGTATAGGGAGAGTTGCCATGGAGAGCTTGCCTGCAAGTTTTCCAGCACAATAGGCTGCATTAAGCTTTCAAATTCCTGTCCAAAAGAGCCCAAACCCCCCCCCAAGAGACCTTTGCTGCTCAACTGGCACTCCCCATGTGAAGGGCATCACCCTCCAGGTGCAGAAAGAGGCATGCAGAGCGCTCCAGAGGGCTCCGTTGGCTATTCCCCCCCCACCATTAACAGCGCAGGAGGATGGCCATGGGCCGCCAGCAGTAGCACTGCACAGCCCTGCTCCAGCAGCACCTGGTGAGCACAAATGCCTAAATTCCCTCTGCTCTCCCCCTTGGACCCCAATGCCAAATCCCAGCTGACATCCTACGCATGCCCTTCTCCATGCCCCTTGCTCCACAAAGCATACTGCCATCTCACACCCATCCCTGATTTCACTGGACCTCTTTCCTGCCTCCTCTTTGAGAGTCGATGTGGTCAGCACACTTGGAGTCACCTCCTTCCAACGCTGCTCCAAGTCACGGCTTTTGCCCAGGGATATGGACATCATTAGGAACTGCCTTTTGTCCTCACACCCGCGTGTCCATGACCAGCTTCTCTTGTGCCGTCAGCTCTATCACTCCCACTGTCACTCCCACTACATCCGCACACAGCCATAAATCTCAAAGCTAAAGATCAGGCTCCAAGAGACCCTCCAGGGAGCCTCACTGCCCAACAAGCTCTCTGCCAAGAGGCTATAAGCCATATGCTAGGTCTTTTTCCCAAATTAATAGTGCTAATTTATTTGACTGGAATAGGTGGGCAGGGTACCAGGCATCTGGGTAAAGCTTTAGTTGAACTGCTGTGGCAGGACTGTTTACCAAGGCAATGCGGCTGATGCAGAATTTACAGAAGTAATTGTAACCAGTAAGACCAGGCACATGCATTCTCTCATCCAGTGGAGCTAAGGTGAATTTGGGAAAAAAAAAAAAAATACACAAAAAGCAAACTAAATCTACTACGAGGCACCTGCAGCATCCTGCTGACACCTTTTCCTATCCCTCCCTTGAAGCTCCCTGTTACCCAGCATGTGCTCAGTGAAACCCCATCAAGATCACCACCTCCAGAGCTCACGGCAGCGACCCCACCACTCATTTGGGAGACGGAGACTTGCCATCATACAAATTTTGCCGTGAGTCCAGCTCTGACCAGTCAGCCACAGCACTTTTTCTCCCATACATTTCATTTTCTGTGTTCCCAGTGCTGCCCTGTTTCTTGCTGGCTTATGTCTCTGCACTAAATCCTGCATCTCCCTCTACTCTTGAGATGCCCTCATTCCTCCCACCGCTTCAAAAGAATCATTATCCAAGCATTGCTATGTAAAGCTTCTGACAAGAACCATCTCTGTCCGAACACACCTGCATGCTCTCCCACTGACGGAGTATTCACTCTCGTCTTTTGTGCCAACTGCAAGCCAAGGGCAACCTCTGCCCAGTATCCATCAAACCTCTGGAGCCACTGGCCAGCTCTGAGGAGTGGCACTGCCAACAGCAGAGACCCAGCCAGCTGCACGGAGATTCTTCCTGGACGCACGGCACATGCTGGAGAGGTCCTAGGCTCTTCGTGGGGCTGAGCTCTTGCAGCAGCCAGAGGTGCCCCCTTCGCCATCTCGTCGTGCTGGCACTTCAAGAGGGCTCAGATGTGCAATAGTGACCTGGGCTTTTCAAGAAACGCCACAGTGAGTAGAGCTACAGGAACAGAAGTCCCGGGGTACAGAAGGCTCCTGAAATAGATTCTAAAAACTGCTTTCAGAAGACAGGATTTTAGTGAAAAGGCACCTTGAGTGAAGAGCTGTGGGTACAGTAGTGACACACAGGTC